GAGAGGAGAGGAGAGGAGAGGAGAGGAGAGGAGAGGAGAGGAGAGGAATGTCCCTTTGTAACTGATAAAGAGAAATGTGTTTTTAATATAACATTGCCAGAATAAAAGCAAAGAAGCAGCTATCATCATCATTTTTTATCAAGGCAAAGAACTTCTGTGATGCTTTTCATTTTCTCATATGAAATATTAAGCCCAGTTTGGAGACAACTACAGCCACAGGGATGTCAAGAGGTGGTTCTTTCTGCCATTAGAACTTCATAACAGCAGCTACAGAAAGCTCAGATCAGAATCTCCAACATCCTTTGGGCGGTTTCTGGAAACAGTTTGTGTCTCAAAAGTGGATACTGCTTTGCTCCCCCCCAAAATTAAGCTGTGTGTATGTCTGCTCGGTAGCTTCTTGCAGCATTCTTGTGGGTTCTTGGGAAATTCTTGATATAGTAAGCCCTATAGTGATAATCTCAAATTCCTGATGATTTTCTGTGCTCTGAAACATCACAGATGTGCCCTGCCTTTAAGTCCAAGATGCCCATGAATTGACTGTTCTCCCCTGATTCAAGCTTTTATTTTTTGAGGAAGAGGAACAAGAAAACCATTGAGCTGCACATTATGGATTTAAATCAAGAAGTGTCAGAGGGGCCAAGCAAAGAGGGGTGTTGCTAAGACAGGTTAGAAAAAGGTCAGGCTGGATCACATCGATCACTGGTTACAGCTTTAACCACGCAGAGGAAAATCGCTAAGGCACAACAGCAGCAATGCAAAGCTTTCATCACAACTTTGTCAGCTCTGCGGGTGATGGAGTACAGGTTGTGAGTGAGTCCTTGATGTTCACTATGGTAATGCCCCATGGAGTTAAAGTTAATAATAAAGAGGGGAACAAGAGAACATGATGTTGTACAAAAGGGGCAGGCTGAAGTGACTTATTGGCAGAGCTGAATTTTTCATTATGATGTAATGGGGAAAAGTTTTTAAAACACCAATAATTTTTAGTTTTCCAAGTTTTCTGTGGCTAGAGAAGAGTGCTTTGCAGAAAGAAGAGTATGCAGAGGATGTTCTTGCCTTACACTGCATAATTATTCCATAGTGAAAAGAACCTGCTCTATTCTGTATGCTCTCTTCAAGCATTTACTCTCTAATCCTTCTCATAAATTAAGCAGACTATACTCACTTACTGCTCCTCAGAGTTTCCTGCTGCTTGATGTCATTGTGTTTAACTCATCCTTTACATTAGGGTTAATCCTGGCTTGCTTCACTTTACTGCTACCCCTACTTAATTTTCTTAATTGTTGTGGTATACAGGTATTTATTTAGAACTCTAAAATCAAGACCTCACTGAAACAAAAAAAGAAGCTCTGTTAATAGAAGCAGAAGAGTAATTTCACTCTTTTCTCTCAGTAAATCACATTCACAAAGAGAAATTGTAAGGAGGAAAGAGTTCGCTCTACATTAGGTCACTTTTAAGGAGAAAACAGAATCCAGAAACAGATTTCAGTACATTACATCACAAATACAAAGCATACCACTCCATACAAAGAGATGACATGATGAGAGACTCTCTGTACAATTACATTTCAACCACACAGAAATTAATGAAAAAGATTGTTTTCATAAGCCAAAGATGCATCATCTATTGACCACACAAGGCAGAATCACTGTCTACCAATTTCAACTCTTCTGTTCACAGCAACATTAATTGAATTAAAGATATCACTTTAAAAAACTCCCTTATTTTCCCAACTTGACGAACCTTTGACAAAGGGTGTGCAGCTGTTTCTCTTTTTTGAGAAGGTACCTTGATTTCTGCTGGTGTGTATGAACTCCCAGCTTAATCTTTGGATTTAAATGATTCTCTCTCCAGAAGCTGTTGGTTTTACTAATGGATGTTTTACTTGCTATGCTTTTTGTCACTTAATAAAGGTGAAATAGACCAGAGGAGCCATTCTGTCACCAACACAGCATCACTGCAGCTGAGCTTACAGTTGGTCTGCTGGAGAAGCTGTAGGTAAGTATTATCATTTGCCACTTCTCAGCTGGGCTTCTTCATTTGGACGGCTAAAAGCCTCAGGCTAAACAAGTTGATTTTATGGGGTTATAAAACTCTATCCCACTAAAACAGGCTAATTGTTCCATCTCTTCTAGGCTGTGACTGCTAATAAAATTGTTGTAGCTGTTTGGATTAAGGAGACGTTGTTTATAATAGCAGCATGTGAGGGCTTTTTGGCTGGAAGGATCGCTCACTGTTGTGCCTTCACATAACAATAAATGAGAAAAGATATATCAATTAAACTTATCAGCAACATTGCTGGGAGAGATAAGACCCAAAATGGTAAAATAATATCCCTCTATTCAGAATTCCCAAAGGAATTCCCACTACTGTTAGATTCAGAGTATTTGCCTTAGGCCAACATGGCCACAGCTAATCTTGCACTAATTGAAACATGCCTTTGACATCACCTCCTCATTGACTGGTTGCACTGTGTCTATTTCTTCTCTCCCTATTTTTTTCAGACTGAAAGATTACTCCCCCAGCAGTATTAAACCCAAACTAAACATGAGTTCATTTTTCACACTAGTGATTTTCCTGAGCAATTTCAGTGAGCGAGGTAAAAGTCAGTGCTTTGGTGTTTGGTGGAGCTCAGTGACTTCTGTTGTCACCCAGGGTTTTGGAAGTCAGCTTTGCTGCTGCTTTTCTTTCAACATAATTGTTTCCATCAGGACAATATGGGTTCTACAGGCTTCTAAATCCAAATACTAACATTTTATTCTCTCACCACGTGTAAATGGATATATGAATTATGGAAAACTAAAATTATTTTCTTGGGGCAGTTTAGAGAACGTTACACATCCATCACACTGCTATTTAAAACCACAGAGAGAAAAGTGACTGTCTCAGTTAAGACAGCCAGCTGACAATGTGACTTACAAGACATGAAGCACTTCCCTCATAATGTTTGCATTTGTGAGGATACTTCTTTTTCTTATGCTTTGTCACGCACTGATTTTGAATGACTGATCTCTTGCACGACAGCCTGTGTGGCTGTGATACAACTGGCAGGCAACCTGAGGCATTCATTAATTTTTAAATAAATAAGCTAAAGTAACAGTGATTGAAACGGCAGCTATATTAAACATGATATAAATAACCTGACTGACGTAAAGATGGTTATAATGCAAACTTGAATTCACCTGCAGGTTCTGTAATACCTCATCCATTATCTTTTCTTGAACTGGCAGAAGAGTATTTTTTTGTCCTTGAAGTCACTTGTTCATTTCCTAAAACCATAAAGAACAGGACAGCATGTTACTGTATATACATGCAGATTTCCTGGATAACATGAGATCAGTTTCAACACTGAGTTTATTTCAGGAAGCAGGTGGTATCTCCACTAAATGCCTGCATGAATTCATGAATTCACAGCTGATGTAAATCAGCAAATCTCAATTGTCTCCTATCTAGGTACAACATAACTTCAGGAAATGCCAGGGTCCTCAGATGGAACCATCATACCCTTTCTATGCAGAAATTTCACACAAACTATCTTGAACAACTTAAAGTGCCTGGGTTTTTACCCAGGTATAGCCATGTCAGATAAAATAGAAAACTAGATTTTATTTTCATATGTATTGCTTAATACAAGTGCTATTCCAACCATGCTATTCATCCCAGGAGCTGAAGTAATCCAAGTTCTCCTGGGAGAAACTGAAGTCTGGGCTAACCCCACTGGATCTACCACTCCCACTCTTGGAACAAGGTGAAAGGATTTAGGACAGATTTACTGTGGCTGCAAGCCTAAGTCCATTTATTTCATACCTTGTTATAAAATGAAAACACAGAGCCTTTTTCTGTGCATCATTTGGTGGAGTACAACCTCTCTTCATTAGGCAGTGTATAACTGCAGGACATCTGTACCCATATCATTGACTGGTTATGCTACTGGTCCCTCTACTTCCTCTGCTACTGTTCATGCTGTGATTTAAAGGCTCTCCACCGTGTGACTTCTTTGGGTGCTCGTTAGATTGATGTCAGAGTTCAATTCAGGTTGAGATCTTTCACTGTTATTTAAGGGATTACGATGCCAAATTCCCACTGCGCTAAACTGAAGTAGGTGGGAAATAACTTTTCCAAATCAAGAGGGATTTTTGTGATTCAGCTAAAGGGTTTCGCTCTAACTGAATGATTCCAGTGTAGGGTCTGTTGATGTATTTACATGTGTTGTTTATTGACCAGATTCTGCTCTCACATGTCATCAGGAGGTGATAAAACTTCTTTCACTGAAATCAGTGCACAGTTAGTACAGCTTCTGGGGAGGAGTGATAGGTTCCTTTGAGTCCCATAGTGTCTTTCCCAGCACCTGCTGCTATTCTATATATAACAGATATACAGGAAAGGCTCATGGGATTTATCTATCACGTTCATTTCTATCTCCTGTAACAAGACCAATACCTGATGGAAAGTTACCTTCATTAATAACATTCTTAATGTGGAATAAAAATAACTCAAATGGCCTTATACATATCATCTTTTGTTTGAATGATAAAGATGATTTGACTGATTTTCTTTCTGTAAAGGTTATTTCCTCTCTCCTCCATGTTTCCATGCAGGTTCTGGGGTCCTTGAGGACGCTGCATCTACCTGCAGCAGGCAAATACAATCCCTTCCCTTAATCCCTGAAGCTCAGCAACGAAGTTTTGTTTCAAGCACCTGGAAGGCAAGAACAGGTGTTGTCATTTTTCTTCAGCACATTTTTTTTTCCCCAGTGTTATTAATAACTAGAATGGAAGATTTTCATCCTTGGATTCTGACTTCTTTCAGAGCTTCTGAAAGGTCCCAAATTACACAGAGTTTCAGCAGGGACTGCTGTCTCTTCCGTGAAGGCAGCACTGGGGACAAATAAAAGCAACTGCAGAAAGCATAAGATTGGACATGCAGGCAGATGGGATACCAGATGGCAATCTTTTTTAAAGTTGTCATGGGTAAACGGGGAGAAAGGAAAAGAACTGAAGCTCAGCTAGATGCGACTTCTACCCGCTGCGTATGAAGCTTAAAAAGTATGATTTACTGCTCTCGTCGTATGAGCCTGCAGTAACTTTTCCTCCTGCATGACAGAACTCATATGCGCTCTAAAAATGCCACTACTTTCATCATCTCGCAAGAATAATTGATAGATTACGGCATGCAGATGACTTTATTATATAGTCACCAGCTTCACGAAGCAGAACCTGCTTTGAATAAGCACAATCATCCCGTGGAGACATCTCACAGAATGATAATTAAAATTTTTGGTCATTTGCCAGTTGCCATAAAAGTTCTTTGTCATACAGTAGGACTATGTGCCATGTATCTAAAAGGCTGAGAGTTTGTTTTGTATATTATTATTTTCCTTGTTTTCTTACCTTCTGGCCAGCACAATGCTGTTGACTGCACACCTACAATATTTAGTAGAACTTGATATGTTAAATCTGTTAATGTTCATCTATTCTGTGATAATGCCATGACTAGTATTTGCAGGAACAATGCATTCCAGGAGTTAATGTTTTCATAGAAGATGATACAAATTAATCAGAACAAGGCATGCTATTGTTCCCAAACTGACCTGGTGTATTGACAGACAGTTAAAGTAAAATGCAGATCATGTTAATTGTTAAATATGCTGATCATTCTTTCCAACTCCCTTCAAACTAAGTACAACTTTATATTAAAGGATTGAATTCAACTACATTTTAAATGGCAATTCTCCTATTTTAATCTGTGGGGATTCCTAATCTTCCTTTCTCCTTTTTTGATAATTTGCAGACATTCTTCCATTTTTCTTCAAACAGTAAATGCTGGATGAAGCTCCATAACAGAATATATTGGCTGCTGCTCCTGCTTTGCTCCATGACAGTTGCATGATCTTCTCATGTTTCCTGACCACTGCACAAAGATATTCCTTCCCTGTGACACCTCTGAGAAGTCATTCTCTATCACTGTTGTGTGGGAATTATTAACTAAGGTATCAGAAAATTCATTTCCAATGAATGGGACAGCCTAAATCTTCCTAAACTCTGTGAACTTTGCAAGAGTAACAGACGCAGTTGAATGTCTGGATGTCTCACAAATTGGTACATCCAAGTTTAGGATATGTTCTTAGGTGAAAATCCACTAATATAATAGTAGGAAATTATTTAGCTATAGGTACCTAGAGCTGTTTCCTTTTTGGACTACAAAAGTTAACAGTGATGGCAAGAAACCTGTCATGCCTTTAATTTGCTTTAAAAATAAAACACTCCTCCCTACCTTTTAATAACACTATAGCCTGTGCTCTTTCCAAAGTTCTATAAACGGCCTTAAAAAGAGAACTCCGAATCTGTGAAATGTGGCAAGTTGACTTAACATCTGGAAGTACTCTCGGGGCTTTTCACGAGACAGTGAAAAACTGGCCTGTGTGATTTCTTGATGTTCATGCAAGGAATACCCAGTAGCATCATTGATAGTAAATAAAATATTACATTTTCTACACTGGAGATTGGTGTTTTAATGTTTGGGTTTGAGCATTTCCTGACATGTTGCTACCAATACATAATGTTAGGAGCTGTTTGTTTTTACTTTGTAACTAGAGGAGGTAATCTAATACTCATTAGGTAATCTTTATTGGGCCATCTCTGCTGCGTTTATACTGAATTGTACCCTTATTACTTTTTAGTTCCATTTATTTCATCTGTTAAAATTAGATATTTTCCACTGTATTTAAAAAGCATCCATGTTCTTGGCTAGCAAGCCCAGAATTTGATGCTATTAGAAACTGTTTCTAAAGCAATTTCTAAAATACATTTTATGATTCCCATCTCTTCTGATTAGGAAGAAATGTTCACAGTATGCGTGGTAGAGAAAATCAAAGGAAAGAACACTCCAACAACTGTTCATATAACAACATATGATGATTAAAAAGTACCATGTTTAAAGAGCTCTTCATATCTTACTTCTAATTGTTTTGGTTTTGGATCTTCCTTAATCTCTTTAAAAATAATAATTAAAAAAAAAAGAAAGAAAAAAAGAAAGCAAGCATTTTTTAACAGCTTAATCCTTGTTCTGATTTTTACCATGTACTCCATGGATTTACTGTCAGACTCCAAGTGCTACAGCGGAATAGCAGCTCTGCAGAAGAAACAGAACTTCAGGGTGTTCACAGCACTGTGACGAAGAAAAACAAAGAACTTTCAATTAAACTTCTTAAGAAAAATGAACAAATCGTTGTTTAGACACCTTTGCACAGAAGGTACTGAAAATTCTGATGTGTACTTACAGAACCATAGAATTGCCAATGCTGGACAAGACCTCCCAGATCATCCAGGGCATCCATTCAGCTACTACCAAGATTTCCCATGTCCTCTGGTACAACATCTACCTTATGATAGTTCAGGTTTTGATTTTCATTTGGGAGATGTTTATGTCTTTGTTTTGGTTTGGTTTATTTTTCAGCTAACCCTAGAAATTCAGAACAGGATAAAAATTCATAGATGTGCTGCATTCACACGACATACAACTCATAATGTTGGCACAGGCACTGCAGTGATGGGCATATTTGAGAAGCTCCTGTTCACATACATTGTGCCTCTAGTTATCAACTATATTTGGTTATACTTGACAACTGTAGACAGATAAATAGTTGGTAAGGAACTATCCAGCTCAGCTTTAAATTTCTTTTTTCTTTTTTAATTCCACTAGGACAAATTCAAGAATACAGTCTTTAATAATTATGGTGCTTGGAGAAATCCCAATATCAGTGACCTACAGGATACTGAAGCAGAGGAAAAACATACGATGGGCAAAAATCAAGCTTCCAGGTGGGGGTGACCTTCACAGAATCATTGAATAGCTTGCATTGGAAAGGACTTCAACGATCATGATGTTCCAACACTCCTGCTGCAGGCAAGGTTGCCGACACTAGATCAAGCACTAGATCAGATTGCCCAGGGCCCTGCCCAACCTGGCCTTAAACACCTCCAGGGATGGGGCATCCACAGCACTGTGCAAACATAGCTGTGTGCTGCAGCTCCTGCTGCTGCAGGTCAATGGATGTGTCAGAAAAGGGGCAGTGACCCTTCATGGGTTTTACAACAGCTATCAGATCTGGCTGAGGTTCTTGTGCTATAGTTTAACTCATGACCTAAATACTTCCCTAATATCAAATACAAGAGATTTCACCGGGTTATGAGGAATTTTTGCCAATGATTCCTCTAGAAAAGGAAGTAGCTGTTCAGGATCTCATGACCTACATTGTGAACTCAACTCGTCTCATTACTGAAAGTACTTATTTGTAAAGATTGTTTTTCTATTTACTATTCTAAACAGAGGAAATTCTTTGCTGTTTTCTGTCTTTGTAACATTTTTTTTTTAAGATTAATTTATTTTTCCTTTCTTATTGCTTGTATATTCTGTCTGAGGCACAGAAAAAATTCAAAACAATGTCTTTTCCTTTTTAATATGACATACTATTATTCAAGAGACTCTCATTTATGTGCACTTGAGACTCTAGTGCTAAGCTACAGTGCTTTGAAAATAGTCACAGATGCAGAGTTCCTGAGTTCTAGGCGTCGCATTTGACTCAGATATGTTGGATTATCAGATGATTACACAGCAATTAGTCATGTCCTAGGCATCTTGTTTGCTGAAACCTCCTGCAGCCAACTATTTGAACTGAAAAGTCCTAACATTTGATAACATTTGAGAGCATACTTCTGTCTTTTCAAGCTGCAATTTGTCCAAAACCTGAGTAGTAGAAGCAGCATCAGTAAATTTGGCAGTTATTTTGATGTAGTCTTATGGTAGTTCTGTGTTTTTGCTTTCTGATGATAACTTATAAAACTAACAGGAGCCCTCCCAAGCATCCACAAAGTGCCTGGTGAGGGAGTTCCTATTGGCTGTTCCATTCCTACTTGAATACGGTGACACAAACACAACACTTCATAGCAGTGTACATGATATGCATGTGGTATCAAAGTTTTCCTAAGGCTCCCAGCTCATCTATGCAGAGGCATGGAAGGGATTTGGATCCTTTGTCACAGGAAGATACTGCAGGGTTGTGTAAATCAATTCCACTTGGAATGTGGATATAAATGTTCTCCCCAAATTCTTTTACAAGTGAAGACTTTGGACTGAAATTAGATGAGCTAATCCTTAGAACATACGCCATGCCAAGTAGAATATATTGGAAGCCCTTTAAGATCTGTGACATTCAACCCAGTTTAATTTTTTGAAACCGGACTCGTCATTTATGAAATAGCAGCCAATTCAGCTTTTCCAGGGTAAATGAAATCATCCATCAGCATGACTGATGGTCATCCAGGGCTTCACAGAGGAGATTCTAGCAATTGTAGCTGGCTCCTGATTTGTGAGCAAACAGGCATAAGTCAGGAGAGCCCTGCTCTAGCTTTGTATCACATCAGGTGTCTCTGCACATAGGGCTGTAAATTAACAACACCATAGCCAGAGACTTTGGTGCACTGATACCTGAGTTGAATGGTAAGATAGCACCTTTTGGCTATCTTCCTCTTCTGCCCACAGCTGGGAAGTTGAAACTAGATATCACAGAACCACAGAACAGAACCACTGGTATATGCAGAACTCAATTGGTTGCAGAACCTTCCCACAGCTCAGTGTATTTGAAGAACTTAACAAAAACAATTAACAGGATAATCCAATAGATGGAAATAAAATTCACTTGTGTTTAACTTCAAACTCATCCAGCAAACTATTCTGAATTAAGGGATGTGCTCATTACAAACGTGTCCCATTTAACAGAGCTATTAGCAATGCATTATTTACATGTCATCATTCAGGAATTCTGATATGCCTTTTCTACCAAATTTTTCCTTGCATTAGATACAGGACCAGCTTGCCCCAGCTGTGCACTAGATCGTCCTGACAGGTTCAGAAGATGACCTTCCCAAGGGCTGCTCTGTGACCCACTTTGGTTACAGAGGCACTATCACAAAATCCCTTGCCATTTCCCACCTGCTGTAAATGACACTAAAGATTGAGCTGACACAACAGTTTACTAGAAAACTTAATTACAGGACCATTTTTCTTCATTAAATTAATGT